ATTAATTAATTATTACTTTCATGTTTTACTGGAAAGAAAAAAAAAGAGATTGAAAAGTTAGGTTTTTCTGTGGGTAGAAAATGGGGTCACTTTTGTAAATACTGAGATTGGGCTAGTGGAAATTTCAAGGAAGTTTGCTATATTAAGGAAAGGTAAAATCTTTCAAATGCAGTCAATCAAAAATGACTGCACAAATATGACTCCCCAGAAAGGCATTCATCCTAATTAATAAGATAAACCAATAGTTAGTCACCTACTTAAATGACAGCTGCAAATCAAAATGGGACTTGCCAATTCTCTCATGGGGTCAGCTATGACCACCCACGAAAACTTCACTCTTTCATCTCCTTTACAAGTGGAAGGACTGACAGATGGCCGCAGCTATTCCAGCCAACCATAGCATCCTCCATGCTCGCTGCCAGGACTGGCTGCCATCCCCTGCCCAACATGATCAGGCAGTAAGTAGGTCTATAAACCTATTAAAACAGCATAAATGTTATAACTTGTAATCTATTAAAATAAAAATAAACAGGAAAGGAGGTCTGAGAGCCAGTTTCTTCAGAGCAAAATGTAATGCTAATTATGAGGTTTTCAAATAGTGCAGCTTTTTTTGGGGGGTGGGCAAGACCTAGGGTTGAGCCATTAAAAAGCTAGTTGGTAGTATTAAACTCTTGCTTTAGGATTTATAAGAGGGCCAAAAATTCACTCCAGGCTGAAATTTACTATCCCAGGCCTGGAATCATTTAAAAAAAAAGTTGTCATAAATATGGAAGAAAAACCAAACAAACACAAAACAGTGGTTTCAGATGATTTTTGGCACTCCTTCAATGCCAAAGTGGCTTTATTTTTTTATTTTTTTTTTTTTTAAGTCTGAGACTCATTACTATGAATTACTTTTGTAACTAAAATTGAGACCAGGTTATTTTAATAATGAATTACCAATAAGTTACTATCACTGAATCTTTTTTAAAGCTTTTCAGTATGAAGAGATATCATAGTTTTCAAAGGAATGTCAATGCTCTGACTTACACTCAAAAGCCAGGAAGTTAGGGGTGGAAATTTCATCTGTGAGCCACACAGATGTACGAAAACATTTAAAAAATTAACAGCGTATGTTAAAGATGCAATGTCAGCCCCATTTTTATCCATAACTAGACTTCATTAGTTCTGTGGGTTTAAAATTGACATTTAAAAACAAAGGCAACATAAGTTTTTGTGACTTAATTGAGCGCTCCTTAAATAAAGAGATATTTTAATGTTTGCAGACTGTTAACATCTTTCCAAAATAAGCTATGTGCTGGTGCTACTTAGCTATATTTCCCTATCACCCTAAGGAGTCTGTATTGCTGATGGAAGCCATTTCTTTTGCTAAATCCCACCTGCGAACTCTAACAGGAGCATTTAAGCCTACTGAACAAAGTCTCCCGGGAGACACTATTGTTGAAACAAAAACTGGAACAAATTTTTAAAGTGAACTTTCTGCAGTCATTAGAGGATGTAGGTCTTAAGAAGAAGAGAAAACTTGTTATGGGAGAGGGAACAAAAAGCCAAATGTAAGCAGACAGCACATGCCAGTCACCCCTGAGGGAACAGAGGGAAGGTATAGAAAATTAACTGCTGCATTTCTACTTCCCACCAAAACCACAAACAGGCCGTTTCAGGGGACTAACACATACAGAGTCTGCAGATAAATTCGTCTACCTCATTACCTGAGAAGAGCCTTAAAGAGCACACTTTGCTGAATATTTCTGCTTCTACATGAATAATCTCATTTATGCAGAAGAAGGTGCTATACACACGCATGCAACATTTGCAGCGTGTATGCGTCTCAGCTTGGAAGCTGCTCAGCTCTGTCTGCAAATTTGGCCTGTAGTCTTTTGGCATGGATTTTTACTGCAAAACTTAACAAACATTCTCTGCAGCGAAACCACCTTGAACTGTTTCTTATCAAATTTCACAAGCTAAGTGGGTTCGAGTCTGGTCAATACATGGATGAGAGATCATTATATGAAATTACGCTTTGCTGAAAAATGACAACAGCAGCTTAACAGCATCGGGAAATGGCGGGACTTAGCTGTAAGGATGTGCACAGGGATGACTGGGATTCAGGCAGCTGCTGGCTTCACCCAAGATAAGACTACCACACCTAGCAAAGCCAAGACAAACAGCATACCTAAAGGAAGAACACTACATGGGAAATGGGAACCAAAAGATTAGTGAGGTTCCTGCTTTCTACCTCGAACAAGAACGCCAAACAGCCATATAGGACAGACACTCTCTGCTGAGGGACATGCATATTTATATGCCATCTCACCAGCCTGTAAGGCGTGCTTTCTCTCTGCCATCTAAAGTGGCACCATCTTGGAGTTACACCTTGTGCAGTAACAGTAATGCCAGGCACACTGCTGAAGTTTAGTACCCTAGCAAAGTATCGAACAACTGAGATGGGAGATAATAAAAGCGAAACTGCCATTCTGAATGTTTCATTAATAAATTGGGTCAAAGCAATCCCATTTTATTTTTGACAAAGTATAGGTCTAAAGGAGGATGAGGATGACGATTATATTTGGATTATAACAAATACTTAACATCAACCCAGATGATGCCCTTTCAGGCAACCTAAGGAAAAACAGCCTCTTTATTTTCTGAAGTTACCACAACATTCCTGTATTCAAAGACAAGTTAACAAGAGTTTGCTCGGAGTACAAATCAAACAGGATCGCACAGAAGGAATACAGCAATATTCTTCATTCTCACTGGATGCAGTGTAGGGTATGCCTGCAGGGCTTGAAAGTTGTGTAGGCACTGCGAGGCTGAAATGCATGACAATTTACATGCTCTAAATTGTTTCCCTGAAACAGATCTTGCCTAACTATCCTTGGTTTTATCACCTTGCCAGTCAACTGCCATACATACTTGCACTTGAGGGAAAAAGATTCGCATCTGCCACTAACAGACATGTGAGCTGCCTATCTAAAATTAGTCTGCTGGCCTTCCTGGGCTCCCTCTGCAGGCACTGCACCAACAGAAAGAGAAACTCAGCTGCGGCAGGACTTGGAGCACCTCATCTATTTAAGTTATAACCATCATGGAGAACAAAATCCTATGCCAAGCAAACACTGCGAAAAATTCTGTAGTTATCAGAAAAATCTCAATGCTTAGTTTAGGTCCAGAAAAACTTTTAAGATGACAAAAATGGAAATTCTGGGGTGAAGCTGCTGAAATGCAACTCAGTTGATAGTTGGTGGTAGTAGTAGTAGTAGTAGTAGTAATAATAATAATAATATTATCATCTTCAAGAAAGAATATACAGTTTTTGCTATCAGGCTATTACAAACCCTAACCTTGGACTTGGACTTGGGCTCCAATAGGGAACTTGGAACAGAGGGTGCAGAAAGTGGAAGCTGGTATTGTAACCTGGCAGGCAGGACTCCCACAAACTCAGTTAGCCAAAACAAGCCGATTCTCCTAGCTACAGGTAAAACACTCTGAGTAACTTAAAAAACCTGAAAAATATATAAATAATAAAAATAAAAGTATTTCAGTAGACAGATACTAGCTTTTTTTCTTTAGTATTTGATGGAACATATTTCAGTACATCACTAACCAGTGTTCCTGACAGATGTGCAGTTATACTACCTGACCACGTCACAAATTAGCCTTCCCAGGAGGAGCTGTACAAAAAGTAAAACAAAAGAAAGCAGAAATTCCTTGACATCTGCAGGATGTCAAGGAAATGAATAAATTTGTTTCAAATAGGAGAGAATTAAGAAAAATCTTACTTCTAAAATTTTCTGTCTTACACTAGGACTTTATCATTTAGCTGTTCTCAACATGCTTCCCTTTTTCATATCCAGGGACACACTAAACAACCAATTCACTTCAGAACTTCCAGACAGAGTGTCGCAAGGACTGCTACAACTTTTCCATTTAATCACTAATACTAAAACATTAAATAGCTTATATAAAACACGTGGCATAGCAGTTTATCAAAGCAGGCATGCTCATGTGATTTCCTATTAAGAAGAACATGTCGAGCCTATCTATTACAGAACAGAATAGATATATTACATGCATTTGGCTTTTAAGAAGGAAATATTGGTATTTAATCAGAAGTATATCAGAATTATCTGACAAGATCTCTACCTAATTCTCATGGTTTAACCCCAACCAGCAACTAAGCACCATACAGCCGCTCGCTCACTCCCCCCTGGTGGGGTGGGGGAGAGAATCACAAGAGTAAAAGTAAAAGCTAGTATGTCCCCATACTAGCTACCGTGAAGGAAATTAACTCTATCCCAGCCAAAACCAGCACACTAATGTAAACCAGACTGACTTGGGCCAAGAGATCTGGTTCAGCACAGCAAGCAATTTTCAGTTTCTCTAATCAGTGCAAAAAAATTCCCAGGAATTTTATACCTGGGAAAACCACTGGAATACTTGTTTTTGAAGAAACACAGATCACTTTTTTCATACGTTACTTTTTTTGAACATAGTTTCCTAATGAAAGTCATGTCTACATGATTACAGCAGCTGAACATTCCTCCCTGTCCACTCATTTATCTATGAATTCAACCCCCCTCAAAAAAACAGAACCAAAACAAACAAAAAAAAAGAGAGGAAAGGGGTGGGGGGGAAGATCCCGACCACTTTTACTTGTATCTTAAACTGGCACTGTACCATGTGCAGAGCTCTCCTACTGATACATCAGGGGTCTTTTGCACATTTGGTATTTCTGGTAAGGTTAGTTTCTTTGTGTAATAATTTCAGCTGCGATTTTTAAAGTTAGTGTCCTTCTCTGCTTTAGCAAAGAGTTTCGAAACAAATGCCCAAACACATTTGAGAGATTGCAAACCAAATGCAAATAAAAGAGCCCAAAGCTTTGCTGTTTTATTTTTAGGGGTTGTTCTTCCCAATGCCTCAGTATGTCTATTGTTCTCCAAATGCCAGGTAGCAAAATTGCTAGTTTATTTGGGGTAAACCAAACAGTAGGTGCTTACCTGTAGGAGTACTACTGCGAAACGAAGAGGAGGGAGTGATTGGAGGGGTGACTGGAGGAGTAAGGCTTCCACTGCTGTGGCGAGGTGGAGTAGATACATTCCCACGGGACACTGTGCTTGACAAAGTCAAAGAGAGTTTTGGCTGAATCTTTTTCTTCAAAGACTCCTGCTCACGTCGAGCTGCATCAGTCATAAATCTAGAACGAGGACAATCATGAGGATGAGAGGCTTGAAACACTGTCTGCAAACGAGATTTAGGTAAAGATAAAGTATTTTTTGCCCTCTATTTGACTATTTTTGGTCAATGGAGCTTCAAACTCAGCCATAACAAGTTCCTCCACAACACACAGATTTCAAGAATACAACCTTCTCCATCAACAGCTTTATTCCAGTGTTCAAGATCTGGGCCATTTACTTCTGATTTCGATAGAACTTACATTAGACATTTGCATCATGTGCAAACACAAGTTTTTTTAAACTCCAACCAGAGATCAGCATTGCAAACAATATTATATTAACTATACTCAATCCTTTAGAAAAAATACACTCAATCCTTCTGTGAAAAAGTAGCTGAGTAGCTATAATGGAGAAAAATGTTAGGGGCAAATGTATTGAATCTGAAGGTCAAAGGGATAGTATGAATTAGATTCTGTAGATACATAATTTCCAACTTAGGATAATCACATCCTTTTTCTAAAGGTTTTAGACAATGTTGCCTGACATAAAAGATGTCCAATTAAATTGCAATTCCTCAAACCAGAGTTCCCAACTCCTGAAAACCAAATGAGGTCTCTCTGTAGAGCTTTGGTACATGCTGCTGAAGGCCTAATGCAAAGTTCATCTCTGTGGGATTCTGAGAGGGAATTCCACCAGCACGACGCAATGTGAGCACTGGTAGTGCAGTAATGCCAGCAGTGCAACTTTTTGCATGGGATCTCTCACCTGGAATAAAAATAGCTTTTTTCACTTTTATTCTGATTCCTTCCAAAAAAGAACAATTGAAGTGAAAAAGACCATTTTTATTCCAAGTGCCTACACAGAGTTACACCAGAACACCTGATACTGCATTATGCTGACATTCAAAGCATCACTGCTGGCACCTGTGTTAACCCTCACTTGAAAGGACTGGGGTTCCCCCACAACGGGATCTCTGCAACTCAGACTTCATGCACTTAGCATTCAAGCAATATTTTAATCCTTTGTCTTTCCCCTCCACTGCATAAGGAGCCATCTTGAAGGATTCCTAAGAAGACAGGCTAAAGCAAATCACCTTGTACATACAGTCCTCCGTCCTTCATGCTGAAGTACAAACTACGCCTTGTCAGTGAACAAAACAATACGCACTAGCATGTGATACGGAGTAAGACGTTAAGTTACACCCAGACATTTGTCTGACCAGGTCAGACGGAGTAAACCAAGTTTTAGCCAAGACATGAGCTTTATATAATGAGCTCTTGCAACCTTGGCAAACCATGAAGGGTGCATTCGGAGAGGTGAGAACGCAGTGCAGCCAGTACACTGCACTCACCTTGGAGCCAGCTGTCACCCAGAAACTCGCATTTGCAATCCAGTAAGGAAACAGAATAACAAAAATTATCAGCAATTATTTGTATTGGACTAAGCAAGGGTGACCTGGCTTTCTTTCAATAGTCACACTCTCGTCAGAGGAGCCTAGGAAAGAGAATGAGGCAGACTCAGGGATAGAAGCGGCCACAGAGAACAAATCTGTGGAGGAAATAATGAAGATGCTGAGTTGTTGTATTGGGTGTAGGTGGCAAGGTTTTGGTAGTGGAGGGGGCTGCAGGGCAAGAAGAGGTCAGGGTCTGCCTCATGCCAGCCATAGCTGGTTTCAGCCAGCTCTGCAACGGACCTACCACATCACACAGCTGAGCCTACCAGAGAAGCTGGTGGCACCTCAATGAAAACGTATTTAAGGAGGGGTAGAAAATCCTGGAGGAAGAGATGAGGAGGGAAAAGAGGAGGAAACAACAGAGGGAATGAGAGAACAAGGTCAGAGGAGTAGGAGGTACTGCATGGTGCAGAGCAGGTATACCCCCAGAGGCACTGCAGCCTGTGGGTGACCAACATCAGAGCACAGGACAAGAGTGACAAACAAGGGGCAGCAAAGAGACACCGCTACAACCTGACCCAAACCCCTGCACCACTTGTTGCCTCACCAAAGGGACTGAGTGTGGCCTGCAGCAGTAGCAGGGGAGGAGAGATGTCTGGAGTGAAGTGAGCCTGGGAAAGGGGGAGGAAAAGTAGTTTTTTTTCCCCTCTAAGTGTTTTAGGGTTTTTCTTTTGCTTCTCAATAACCAATACCTGAATCAGGAATTAAATATTTATGCTAGTTGGCAATAAATTAAGTTAAATTCCCCAGGTTGAGTCTGTTTTGCCCGTGACAGTACTTGGTAAGTGATTCCCTTTATTTCAGCCCATGAGTTTTCTTGCTCCTGCTCCTCCTATTTTCTCCCCCATCCTGCTGGGGTCAGGGGTGTGGGGGTGAGTGAGCAAGCAGCTATGTGGGTACTTGGCTGCTAGCTGGGGCCAACTCATCACTCTACCAAATTTCTTGTCATGTGACAACTGTATTTGCTATGTGACTAAACTGCCTGTTGTGTGACTTGATGTTCCTTATCATATGAGAAGACATGGAAGCAACCCCTGACATACGTCCAGGATCCAACAGAGGACTGGGAGATCCACCTTTAGCTCCCGAGGAAGAGCAGCAGACCCTGAGGAGAGGGAGGCAGAGGGAATAGTGCCATACCAGTCATCTGGTTCACAGTTTATATCCTGCCATCGTATGAAGGATCAGGCCACAGGCTGGCTGGACAAACTGATTCTGCAGACCATAGTACCACAACAATTGCACTGAACATGACCATCAGGTCAAACTGGGTCTCACAGCAATACATAGTATCTGCCACAGCATCTCGCAACACATAGGCTGTTTGGGTGGGAGCTGGGTAGATTCTACTGGCTGTGAGTGCAGACCTGACTGCACTTATGGAGAGACCTCTGAGAAAAAATAGCTCTTGTGGAACAGTAAGGGGTGCATAGGGAAGGGGAAGGGAGAAAGAAAAAAATGGTTTTTTAGGTATCTGTGCGAAATATGAAAGAAAAATTTGGCCCAGATATCAAAAAAACTAGCTCTTTTTCCAAGGACATTTGTGTACTTTACACAGCCTCAAAACACTGTGGCACAAAATTCTAAGTACCATTAGAGCAATAAAGATGTATCCTGTCATCCATACCATGAAGGCATTAGTAAGTGGATCTTTGCCATGATACATAACATCAACGCACAATCCGCAGACATTAATAAACAGGTATATGACATGACAGCTTATCTTCTTTGGACAGAGACAATACATCATGTCAAACCCAGATATGGCATTTTTATGAAGTTAATATTTAAAAAGCAGATATCCATAGTAACAGTTCAGTTTTAAATTTCTCTTCTCTATACAAGGGTGCAGATATTATTGACAAAACAGTCCCCAAACAGAAGTCTAAATTTCATTCAAGAAAAAAGGAAGTAAAAGGGTCTTAATAAAATGGGCATTCAGTACACATTTGCTTTCCTCTAACTAGGAAATGTACAAATTTTTGGAATTTGTACTATGATGTATGCTTGCTTCTGCATGGGAAGCCTTATTCCTTAAGAAAATGTTATGGCAACATTATAAATCCTTGAAAACTTGGAAGATAACCTCAAGTGTGAGATATTAAAAGCAGCAGCATGAACGCTGCTATTTAATAAACTCAGCCACAAATAACAATGTTGAAATAATATTAAGGTATAACCAGTCTGGTTGAAGTCCATAAAAATCAGGAAAATTTGAAGTTATAGCTGAAACTTCTCCCTGTCCTGTTAACTCACTCCCATTTGGGCTAAGCATGTTGGGTATATTCCAAAACGTCATTTGTTGTCTACACTGTGAAGCTGAGAGAAATGGAAGGCAGAGTCTGTTGAGAAGTTCAGTTCCTGGTATCTCAAGTATGCAATTAACCTTTTCAGATCCAAATAGTCTCATAAACATTTGCTGAAGCACTGGCAGTGCTTTTAATTGAAATGCAGTATTATACTTGTGCCTAACTATGGTGGTGTTCTTCAAAGCTTACAATATAAGCGTTTTAATGATGGGTATAGAATGACATTTCCAACTAAGGCTTTAAGTTTCATGTTGAAAGTACATTATGGTTGCAACATCAAGTGCTCAGAAATGAAACATGCTGGAATTAAGGTTGAAAACTGGTCTCTAAATTACACGATTGCATACAATTTTCCCTGCCTCATTTAAATGCACAAGATGTGTGGGAAACAGAAAATGAACTGTAACTAACAAAGGCTGCTGTAAGACCACTTAGGTTAAATCCCACCTCCTTGCTTAATAGTCTCTCTCACCATCTTCAGATCCGTCTCCTTGCTGAGTAAATCTACCTCCACTATTTTCAACTCTTATTCTTAACTCCATAACCCTGCCCCTCTAGTTCCACCACTATGCAGATTTTAGTCATCTTCCCTGTTGCACAGGATTGTGTTTATACCTCATAAGCCTCTCTCTCCAAATCCAATACACCATGTAGGTGCAGTGGAACAAGGAGAATCATTCAGTTCTCAGCCATTCATTGACCCTGTTTTGACAAGCATGGGGTTTGTGTGCTTTCTTGCAGATGGTTCATAACGTCACGGAGGAACCCATTCCTTAGAAAGAAATCTCTTCTAGCCCTATTTTTTGTTTCCTCGCCCTTTCACCTTCCTAATGATTCACCTCCCTGCTCTAAAACATGTAGGTGCAATGATTTCTGAATCAAGTGCTTGCAGCAACTTTAATAAACATCAGCAAAATATAGTATTTCCCCCTCCTCTCATTCCCTGGAATGGTTCAAGTATTTTTATTGAAACTTTCCCAAGAAATTCAGCCTGAAGTAGACACCCAGCATGGAAAATTTCAGCCCAAACAGCTGAATGTTGGCAACATAATAAGCAACTGAAACAGTCTTATAATGGAAAGTGTTGCACAACCTTCCATACAGGTGACAATATAATACAAACAGCATTAGCTGTTGTTACCAACATAAGAAGTCACCAAAAAAGCAGAGACGATGTTCAAATTAAAAAAAGCCTTTTCAAATCAAACCTTTGCAATGTTTATAACTCCCGTCACCCCCAAAAGCTCTGGAATCAAGA